CAGCTTTTTATTAAGAAAGGTCAAGACAGGCAGGGTGAGCAATGGCAAACAGGGCAGAACAGAAAAGGCAGAGACAAACCAGGTTGACAGGCAAAGGGCAAAGACCTCCAGATAAATACTGGGCTTCTGGATTTACACATTTAAGTGCTGCAAAACAGATTGACCTATGACATCCTATGACATTAAAAATGATTATAAATTTAAATGATCTCATATATGTGGCTATTGTGATTCACGGTCATAGGCCCTGTCCAAAATGGTACACTTCATATGAATTTTCGGTCTTGTGTACTTATTTCATGTGTCCGTTAAATCCATGGGACCGTAGGGCGACAGTGAAAGCGGGGTTACGTTTTTGCACGTCGTGCACAGTAACCCTAAAGGCACCGGGATGGCAGTGCCACCGACTTGTTTATACATATATATATAAATATAGCTGCGAGCAGCGACTATGGGCCAAAGCCGGCGGCACCGCCACTCCGGTGCCTTTAGGTAACTAAAGGCATTGGGGTTGCGGTGCCACCGGCTTGGGCCCGTAGTCGCTGCTCGCAGCTATATTATTATATTTACCTTTCTATTATATTCGTATATACTGGTAACACTAGTAGTAAAAGTTAAGATCAAATCACTTTTTGTGGTGTACAAATATCAAAAGTGTAGTAGGTTGATAAACCCCTCCCCCCCCCCCCCCCCTTTTTTTTAAATCTTGTATTGTGCAAAAAGGCATGAGCCTTCAACATTCGTTAATATATAGTTCCATTTATCCATTTATTGTTACCTTCTTTGTTGTGGGTGAAGAAAATGTTGCTGCTATTATTGTCACCTGTAGAGGGCGTTAAGCGCTGTTAAAGTAAAGTACTGCACCGGGAGCTTCAGAGTTAATTAAACTTTGCCGAAGCTTGCAGCCAGTACTCCTGTCTCACAGAGTTTGCTTATTTTTCTACAGGTGAGCAAAAACGATTCAAAAACTGGTCGAAACTGATGTTAAATACTGTTTCTCAAACATGTTGATTTTTGATGGGTTACTGAAAAAGACTGTTAGTTTGTTTAATACGCATGCAGTGGTAATGAGTGATATATCGGATTACACACGAGTGATAAATATGTGAATTTGAAGTGAAATGAGAGAAAATACTCATGTGAAAAGAGTTTAGGAATGTTTCTAAAGGGTTTTATATGTCGATTGTGATTGGATGATAAAGTTTAAGCGAGTTAAATGTACCTTGGCTAGTGGCTACTAGAGTTATCTTGAGCCAAAATGGCGGCACATGCGTGCGTGAACTAGAGCCAAAATGGTGACTTGCATGTAAAACATGAGGTTATGTGAAGCCAAATGCGAGATTCATTTATGTGGCAGTGTGAATCTGGAATTAATGTTTATGGTGATGTGAAAACACTGTAGCAGGTCAATGTATTGTGGTTATGTGTTAATGAACAAGTACAGACAAAAGTAACTTTTGAAAAACCTTTATTTCTTTAATGGAATGTGTTGTTACAGAGAAACAAGTGTTGTTCTGCAAAGGCAAAATATGTTAAATGTTGTGAATACATTGAGAGCTAAGAAAAAATTGAGATTTACTTAAACTTTGCCGAAGCTTGCAGCCAGTACTCCTGTCTCACAGCGTTTGCTTATTTTTCTACAGAGAAACAAAGCCGGCAAAGGGTGGTTAATTCAGATTATCCATCCAGGCTTCCCAGTCCGGAGGCGGGTAACAAAAGCACTGCTCGTTAAGTTTCTTTTATTTGCCTGCATAAAATGATGCTGCTTATATATTTATTTCTTTTTGATTATTTTATTTATTAATTTAGTCAAATTTCTTCTATTCTATATAGCTTGGCTGGACTTTTTTTCAGTTCAATATACTGTAAAAATGAGATGAATGTGATTTTTGTTATATCCTTTTAATAAAGCAGCACAAAGAGAAAGCTTTGCATCTCGAAGATCTTTTCATGTGTGTGTGTTCGGAAAGTGTTTATGTAGGTTTAGCAGATTTCTCTAAAGTAAAATAATTTCCTAAATAATTCTACAACATATAGGCTATTCATTTTGCTGTTAGGAGTCGACAAGCTTTATGCTTAAAAGGAACCTCGATTATTAAGACACAAAGCCCTAAATATGCTACAACTGTTCTCTCCGCTAAGTTTAACTGTAGCTACATCCGAAAAGTGAATATAATGCCACATCGTGCAGCGTTTGGTTGTAATTTCCAGTCCAAAGGCAACAGGGGGAGTGATGTAAGCCTCCACTCCTTTCCAAAGGAGAAGAAAATAAGAAAAGAGTGGGAAGTTGCTTGCGGACGAGTACAACTCCCTAAAGACCCACGGCTGTGTTCCCGTCACTTCAGCCCTGATCCGTTTGAGGCATTTAGTCGGCTAAAAGAGCTCACAGGTGCAGCTAGTAGGGATGGGACGATTACCGGTTTCACGATAAACCACGATAAAATGTCCTGGCGGTTAGTATTATCGTTTAAAATTTAATTATCATAAAAACAGTGTTTGATTATCGTGATTTTGAAAACTCGCGGTAAATCCTATCCAGCCAGAATCAGTCTGACGCAGGCGCGAGCAGGCGCGCGCATGCAATGTCGTTTGTTTGCGCGAGAAGACATGGCGGAAGGCAATGACAGCGCTCGGGAGATTTTTCAGCCATCCAAGAGGACAAAATCGGAGGTGTGGTCGTATTTTGGCTATTTCAAGAGTCCCGAGGGCAATTTAATCGAGGATGGGCACCCTGTCTGCAAATCTTGCAAGAGGAAAGTTGCTGCAAAAGGGGGAAACACGTCAAATCTGCTAAGTCATCTACGTGACAACCACCCACTGTTATATAGCGAATGCAAGGTAAGTTAACTTTTACCTTAATACCACCAGTGTTAATTTCGTTGACGAAAATAACGACGAAAATTATTCGTCAACGACATTTTTTCACAGACGAAAACGAGACGATAACTAAATAAAACCTAGTTTTGAATGACAAAGACTATGACGAAAATCTATTGACATTTTCGTCAACGAATAAAAACTAGACGAAAATGTTAGATAGTGACGATTTGGGAAGCGATCCGTCAGAACTGATGTCCTGCGTGTGTGGAAGATGCGCACATTTGTAGGCTACTGTAACGTGATCTACCCCGCGGTCATAAAACGTTAAAAAATGTGAACGTCTGGGAGAATGAGTAGAGCAGACATATAGATCTGAATAAGAGTGACGATGCAAAAAAGAGCTCTTTTCGGTGCGGTTTTCTGTGCGCACACACCTAACCCGAAGCGTGCAGTCATGCACAATACACCTACAGCGCGCGAGTAGGCTACTGAATTGAGCTCGCTTTCGTGTCTGAATGGACAAATACACAACAGTATGTCTAAATGTCCTTTTTGGAGAGTATTCATGTAAACTATGCTGGTTATGTCTTAAACTGTGAGTGTGTCGGATGTGCATCAGTGCAATTGTATCCGCATGTCATTGGACATGATCCGACGTCTTAAAGTGACAGTGGCAATAAACCTAATGCGGTCCGTGTCCTTAATTTTGATCAAGTAACAAAAGAAAAAGAGAAAAGCATTCACTGTTTGTTAATAGCTTTAATAAGGATTAATTATATTTAATTCATACAAATAAATATGTCTGCTTGAAAGAATAAAGAATGATGTGTAAGTAGTTATAAGGAATGAATATATCATTCATCGTAAAGAAGACTGTGTTGTACTTTAGGAAAAGTGGTTTTATTTCATTTTAAGATATTTTTTAAGTCACAGTAGTTAAATCTGTATCTGTATTGCATGTTCAAACTTAAAAATCATTCATATTAATAGGTTAATAGATGTTTTCTCCGGGAGTATGGGTTTGGAAATTTTAGAGAAATTCTAAATTAACGCATTACAATTGAACTAAACCCATTATATTTTAGTCGACCAAATCTACTGTAGATTTAGTCGACTAAAATGTTATTGTATTTCGTCGACTAAAACTAGACTAAAACTAAAACAATTCAGATGACTAAAATATGACTAAAACTAAATGGCATTTTAGTCAAAAGACTAAGACTAAAACTAAATCAAAATTTGCTGACAAAATTAACACTGAATACCACAACTAACTTGGGCAAATAATTAGACAAAAAATATTGATTGGAGATGAATTATTTCATTATCTCACTTTTAATTATTGCAAAGCTTCCGCGAAGAGAAAAGTTTTACAGCAAGTGGATTCGAGCCAAGAAGAACGAACATATTCAAACTATTAAGGGTGACATTTAAGGGATAATATATTGTATTCTTTCATAGTAAACTTTTTAAACAGTTTTATTATTTATTTTTTATTTTTACCACAGAAATAATTTCAGGGACATGAAATATTGAATTGTGATTAACTTAATGTTTTGAAATCTTACCGGTTTATAAATCCATTATACAAGTTACAGTGTCCAAAACAATCGTCAAGAAAATGTGATCACTACAACAATATTATAGTAGTATTAATACTAAATTAATCTGATTTAATTTTCAATACAATCAACGCAAGACATACACATTTGAATGAAACCAGAGATCGCGTCCGCGGTGATCCGAGACATGGATGTGCGCTGTGTTATAATGCGTTGCTATTGACAATAGTCATTATAAGAATTCCAGTAGTTTAGTCACCCTGACCAAACCAACATATTTTGTTCATTTAAAGTGTGTGTGTGTGTGTGTGAGAGAGAAAGTGATTTCTTTTTTATTTATATTAATAATTATAATATTCAGTCATACACACATCCATAAGTGAGTGAATATTATTATCATTATTAATGATAATAATACATTTGTTTTTCCTTTGTTTACAGAGTGGGCGTGCATTAGGAAAACCCAGTGATGCTTCTGGTCCCTCGACTCCCTCCTCATCTACAGCTGTGACACAGACACTTGAACAAGCATTTAAAAGGCAGACTGCTTATGCACCCACATCAAAAAATGCACGAGACCTCACTGCAGCTATTTCATATTTCATTGCAAAGGACATGATGCCATTTCAAATTGTGGAGAGGCCTGGTTTTCTGAGGCTGATGAAAGTTGCTGTACCACACTACAAAGTGCCATCACGAAAATATTTTTCCAAAACTGAAATACCAAATCTGTACAACCAGGTCAAAGCTGATGTTTTAAAAAAATTAGCTCAAGGAACATGGTTTGCTGCAACTACTGACCTCTGGACTAGTGAAAGTGGTGGTGGTCAACCCTACATAAGCGTCACTATCCATTACCTCACTCCAGACTGGCAACTGGAATCAAACTGCCTCGAAACTCAGTTCTTCCCAGAAGATCACTCAGCTCAAAACATCAGCGAGTTTTTTGATAACATGCTGGAAGAATGGGGGATCAACAAAAAAGACCTGGTCTGCATAACCACAGACAACGCAACGAACATGATAAAGGCTTTTGAAGAGTTTTCAGAAGTGTGGCTTGGGTGCTTTGGCCATAATTTGAACCTGGCCATCTCAAAGGCTTTGAAAATACAGAGAGTTGAAACAGCAGTCAAGGCCTGCCGTCATCTGGTCCAGGGCTTCTCACGGAGCTGGAAGAGAAGGCGAGAACTGAGGCAAAAACAAGCTGCCCTCAACATGCCACAGAAGGCTCTAATTCATGATGTGGTGACTCGATGGGGATCTACACACAAGATGGTTGAGCGGTTCCTTAGTCAACAGCAACCAGTCTGTGCAACACTGGCTGGAGAAAGAGGAACATGGCATCTAATGCCCAAGGATACCGACATAACTGTCATGGAGCAACTGTGCCAGCTCCTCGAACCTCTGAGCAAGTTAACAGATGCACTTGCCTCAGAAACACGAGTAACACTCTCAGCAATCAAGCCTGTCCTGGACCACATTAATTCTGATGTTCTGGTGGAAAAGGACACAGATACATCCCTGACCAAGGAGATGAAAAAGTTAATGAGAGAAGACCTCAAAAATAGATACCCAGATAAGGCAAAGAGAGTCATGAACATGGCTTGTTTCATTGACCCCCGCTTCAAACGGAGCTCTTTAGATGAGCCTGAGGCTTCAAAAATTGAAACTGACTGTGTCCAGGAAGCTGTGAAGCTGGCTGCACAAGTCAGGGAAGAACCACAAAGCACCTCCACCAGCAGCAGCATCTCTACCAGCACTCCACCAGCAGCATCGGAGGGGAAAGGCCTTGCCGGGTTGCTGAGAAAGATTTCTTCAGTGACAAGGCAGCAAAGAGGTGAAGAGGGTCAGATTCCAACCACTCTAGAAGACAGTGTGAAACAAGAAATCAAAGTCTACCTGTCTCTGCCCCCAATTCCAGCAGAAGAGGATCCACTGGTGTGGTGGAAGGGCCATGCATCAGAGCTGCCTCACCTTGCCAGGGTTGCCAGGAAGCTTCTGTGCATCCCAGCAACCAGCGTGCCATCAGAGAGAGTGTTCAGTGCCAGTGGGCATATTGTCTCTCCTCAAAGAGCATTACTTAAACCAGACAAAGTAAACATGCTGACATTTTTGCATTTCAATCTCAAGTGAACAAAGATGCATATATGATACAGGATGTTAGGTCAGCTGCACTTTTTTCTTTAGAAGAAGAGAACGGACATACAATCATTGATGTTCATTTGATTTGTTTACATATGGTTGTATTGTTATTACATGCACATTGCTTTACTTGTGTTGTTTTTATGTGTGCATTTGATGTTCTTATTTAAGGTACTGTTCATTAAAACCTGCACTAGGAAAACGTATACCTCTCACTCTCAGGGCACCATGTTAATGTTAATATAATATTTATGCTTAAAAAGGTGCATATAGCTGCTAATTGTATTTTTTGTTTGTTGATTTTCAAATATTAAACTTGTTGAAATGTTTTCAGTGTGAGCATCAGTTCTTTTTGAACATTTCCATCTCATTTAAACAAAACCGTGATAATACTGATAATCGTGATAACTTTGGTCACTATAATCGTGATATGAAATTTTCATACCGTCCCATCCCTAGCAGCTAGTTACAAGCGAAGACTAAAACCAAATGCCGTGCCTTCAATTTTCCCCCACAAGAAGCATAGCAAGCGTCCGCGCATAGCGAGTGAAAGCCGCGCTAACAAACGACAAAGGCAAGCGACTCTGGACACTCTACTGGTAGGATGTAAACAACCCGCTCCTGCAGTCGCGGAAGACTAATCATCGGACACTAAGCCGATCATGGAGGTAACCGACAATCCACCAGATGCTGTTAATGAATCCACTGAAACGTTAGGCCTACAGTGTTCTCCTAGTATGGTTGATGCAGCAACGCAGACGGATGTTAACCAGTCGGATGCAGCGGTACAGTGGCCAGCTGATGTGGACTACCCGGTAAAAAAGGACCATAGTTACACAGGTAAACATGAAATTGAGATGGGCAAACGTGTACAGGAGGATGACATTGATAACTCCCAGGATCTGTTCCTCTCAGATGATGAACTTGGCGAACAGAGTCAACCACAGTGCAGTCACTTTGATCCGGAATACATTGTAAGTTCATCTGAGTTTTCTCAAAGCACCCAGGAATCACAAGCTTCAACCAACACGCATAAAGAAATGAGGGTTTTTCTAGTTTTTGAGGAACAGTTAAACCAATTGCTTCAGCGTTGTTTAAAGTGTGGCTCCCTGATGAAGAACTGAAAGAGTTAAAAATTGAAGGATCACAGTTGACACTTGAGATCACATGTGCTAACAACTGTAGTTACAGATGGCAGTCTCAGCCTACTCTGAGTGGGACCAAAGGGACAGGAAACCTTCTTTTAACAGCATCAGTTTTCTTCAGTGACATCCATTTTGCTAAATTTGAGCGTTTCTGTAGTAACATGAACCTCAAAACAATTAGTGAAGACACATACAGGGCCGGCTCTAGCCCTTTGGTTGCCCTAGGCGAGATTGAGTTTTGCGCCCCCCAAGTTTTAGTCTCTCCAAAACTTCAACAAGCAAATTATGACTTCAACTGTATAATAAATTGTTCATACAAATGCTACAACGAACGTTCAATGATATTTCTATCATCCTACATGCATTGTACAAATACATTTTGTCTGACCATGTAACTTGTAGTATATTACAATTACTACCACCACTACTATTATTACTAATCTATTAGGCTCCTACAAGACTAAGGGGGTTTCGGGGGTATGGCCCCGTAAGAAAATTTTGTGCATTTTAATGGTAAATTCATCAATCTGGTGCACTTTGAGAGTTCAAAATTAAAAGCTCCAACCCTTATTCAGTGTGCAAATTGAACAAAGAAAAATTCAAACCTTTTTTAGTTACAGTGTCTGTCTACATTACACTACTACATGATAATAGTTATAATATTAATCCCATGACAGTTGAAGACCAAAATTAACGGTTGAATGCCAAAATTTGAATTTGAACTGTAGGCCTAAACACCGAATGCGGCGCAAAAATATAGCCTATATTCGCGTATTTTCAGATTTTTGTTTATGACTTTTCGCCCCTTTATTAAACATTTAAAATATTCACAAATTATATGGACAAAATGGTTTAAGGCCAAACACTATATTTCTAAGGCTATAGATGATTTATAGGCTATTATAAATGTTTCTGAAAAAGTAACGAGGCATTTTAATTGTTTATTAATAAACTAGTATTTTCTAAATCGGCTGCAACATCTCCATCTCCGCTGTAAAGCGGATGCGCCTTTAGATAAGAAATTCATATGGATTACATAATCAGACTATTTTCTATCGATTCGAATTTGTTCGTTTAAAAGTGGACATTTCAAGCTTTAGCCTACATGGGCTCGTTTATTTTTGAGACGCGATCCAGTTCACGGAGACCATAAAAGAGCGCGACTGATTGTTTTATTTTATTTTACAAAAGCACAACGTTTTCTTGTTATTGTGAGTTTACACAAATACAAGTAGTTGCGAATGATGTATTGTTGCGAATGATGTTTATTTTCTATGACCAGAAATGATAGAGTAGGCCTATTTTAAGTTGTTTCCACTGTTGATAGAAAAACGGAAGTGCTCGCGCCCGCGCCTCGTGCAGCATGCGCGCTCCACACTCCGATTACATGCGCTTCTTGAGGCAGACTCACACTAGCACACACACGCAAGGTCTCTCGCTCTCTCCCTCTCTCCTTCTTTGCCGTTGCGCGCGCTACACAGTTTGAACATACATATTCACGTAGCCTTTCGAAAACTTTCCCGGGACAGGTTATTAAAAAGAAGGACAATCCCGGTAAAACCGGGACAGGTGGCAACCCTAGCCAGCATGCCTGTGCTGTGCACAATACTAAGTAATTTTTTTTCGTTTGACACCTAAATGGCTGAGATGAGAAGACTTACCTCTATACTGTGCTTTCTTTTTATCTTGTTGCTTTCTCCGTTTTCGTCCCTGTGCATCAGAGGGTTTCGATCAACGCGCCAACAAATGAGCACTTGCCCAACGTAACGTAACGTAACGTAACCCCCCCGTTTGTTTCGCTTGTCATTCTAATTCTGTGATTAATGGGAAGTAGGCCAAGGGCGACATTAGAGGGCGCCCGCGCGCCGCGCCCCCAACACATTTGTTGCCCTAGGCAACCGCCTTGTTCGCCTATAGCAATCGCCGGCCCTGGACACATACACATCACTGAGGAAGAAGTTTGTGTTTCCTGTCATTCAAAAAACGTGGATTAAAGAGCATAGTACAGTGTTATCTACAATGAAATCACAAGAAGAAGTTGTTCTCTGTGGAGATGGCCGGTGTGACTCTCCGGGGCACTCAGCCAAATACTGTACATACACTTTTTTAGACGCACAAAGCCAAAAGTTTGTGGACTTCAAGGTAATTAGCTGCACCCAAGTTTCGAGCTCTAATACCATGGAAATCAAAGGTTTTAAAGAAGCTCTCAAAACCATAGAAGAAAATGGAGTGAAGGTCTCAGCAATCTCAACTGACAGACATCCACAAATCGTCAAAGAAATGAGGGTCAGTAATCCAGAAAAACACCATGAATTTGACCCTTGGCATGTGGCAAAAGGAGTGTCCAAAAAACTGGCAACTGAAGCTAAGAGAAGGGAATGTGAAGGCCTGGGACAGTGGATTCCATCCATTGTAAATCATTTGTGGTGGAGTGCACAAACCTGTGAGGGTAATGCCGAAGTGTTGAAAGAGAAGTGGATATCTGTAATACACCATGTTACCAACCGACACGACTGGCCAGGGAACAGGCACTATCACCAATGTTCTCATGAGCCCCTTGATGAGACGAGCCAGAGAAGCAAGCTTTGGTTAAAGCCAGGATCTGAAGCCCATAACGCACTTGTGAAGGTTGTGAAACACAAGCGGCTTTTGAAAGACCTGGATCATCTGACAAAGTGCATCCACACAACAAAACTAGAGGTATGATCAAATACAGGCATATTTAACCCTTGTGCATCAATTAAAAAAAGTTACACATAGCTACATAGAGGACAAAAATGTCCACGTCAAAAAACTGTCATAATTTTAGTCTTGGGAGCACAGACTTAAATTTGGTATAATTTTAAAGAAGACCCATGGCGGATTATTGCTGAAATTATTTATTTGCTTTATTTGATTATTAAATATTAAATATTCCATTCATTATGATGTGGCAGGATGTGACTCACATATTTTAATAGTTTATTTCAAATTCAAATTTGTTTCAGGTCAGAGCCATATAGAGTGAGAGTTGCGACAACTCCATTGACTTCAATGGAACGTTTTTTTTACTGCAATGGCGGCTCACGGAGCCTCTCAATAGTTCCCGGAAGTAGCAGCAGCGCGGAAGAGTTACAGTAGAACAGACCGTTTGTGATGCACTTTTAAAAGGTAAGACGTTTAAAGAATAAGATTATATATTATCAGTACATCTGAATCAAATTAACTTATGTATTAAAGCATGCTAGTTGATTATTGCTCTCTAAATTAGTAGTTTTAGGGGACGTTATCAGGTAAAATAAAGGTCATTGGATAAAGTTAATACCGCATAACAAACCACGAACAGCCTATTAATGGTTAAACCCGTTCTATTGATGCATGTTTATCCTTTGTTGTGTAATAAGAGGGAAAGACTTCTAGGGTTAAATATAACATTGAGGAGTGTGATAGTTGTAATTGATAAAATGAGAATATCGGTTTCATTCCATATTAAATGTGCAATAACGGGAAAAAATCCTTATTTTAGATTTCATATTTGAGTAAGCAAAAACGTATGGTTGGAGTTTTTTATTCATTGTGTTTCTGTTGACTATTACCTGTCTATTATGTTTCAGCTCAGCTGATTTGTATTGATGGGAAAGGGAGATGGAAGTTTATAAGTAAGATTAAAAACCATGCTTAAAACGTCGGTACGCCATTTTCTAGATCAAATCACACTTGGCTAAATGGGGTTTATAAATACCATAACTGTATTATATACTGACTACTATATAGCCTACAATTTATCCCGTTTTTGTTTCCTTTATCTCTTTCAACACAAGAAACACAAAGAGGATTCGGTGGATCCTGAAGACTCCTGCACTGACG